TGTTTGATCTGTTGCATATGGACTTATTTGGACCTACAAATGTTCTAAGTCTTGGAGGAAAATCATATGTACTGGTTATTGTAGATGATTTCTCCAAATTTACCTGGGTTTACTTTCTTTCATCGAAAGATGAAGCTTTCTCTAAGTTTAAATCCTTTGTTCTTCTCATGAAAAATCAATTTGACTGCACTGTTAAAGGGATTAGAAGTGACAATGGTGGTGAATTTATCAATGACAATTTCTGTTTATTCTGTGATCATCATGGTATTATTCATACTCTTTCTGCTCCTAGAACTCCACAACAAAATGGTGTTGTGGAAAGAAAAAATAGATCTCTGATTGAAACAGCTAGGACCATGCTTCTTGAATTTGATTGTCCTAAGTTCCTCTGGGCAGAGGCTGTGAACACTGCATGCTATGTAATAAATCGAACAACCATTAGAAAATCAATCAATAAAACTCCCTATGAAATACTCAAAAGAAAATCACCTAAGATTTCCTACTTTCACCCCTTTGGATCCAAATATATATTCTTAACACTAAGGATCAAATTGGAAAATTTGATGCCAAATCTGATATTGCCACCTTTCTTGGATATTCCAGTAAAGGCCAAGCATATAGAGTGTTTAATAGAAGGTCTAGAAAAGTTGAGGAGTCTGTTCACATCAAATTTGACTCATTAGACTCACCCCTGTCATTGCCTTCTGATATAAGCAACTATGACTTTCTTCCTATTAGTTCTATCCTTGAGATAGGTAATTCTTCCACTTCTAACAAACCTGATGAGGCCATTCCTGCTCCTCAAGACAATCCATCTGAGACTGACTCTCCTAATCAACCTGAAGCTCCTGCTCACATTAGAAGGAGGCATCCTCCCTCTCAAGTTATAGGTAACTTGTCTGATCCTATCCAGACCAAAGGTAAGTACATTCCTGGCCAATATGCTTTTGTGTCATTGCTTGAACCTAAAAACTATAAGGAAGCACTGCTTGATGAAGAATGGCTAGTTGCTATGCAAGAAGAATTATCACACTTTGTTAGATTAAAAGTCTGGGAACTTGTTCCTAGACCTGTTAACTTAACTGTTATTGGAACAAAGTGGATATTCAGGAATAAATCAGATGAATTAGGATTTATAATTAAAAACAAAGTTAGGCTTGTTGCTCAAGGGTATAATCAAGAGGAAGGAATTGATTATGATGAGACCTTTGCTCCTGTTGCTAGAATAGAATCAATCAGACTACTGTGTGCTTATGCCAGTTTAATGAATTTTAAACTCTATCAGATGGATGTAAAAACTGCTTTCTTGAATGGTGAAATTAAAGAAGATGTTTTTGTTGAACAGCCTCCTGGCTTCATTGATTTTGAATACCCTGACCATGTCTTTAAGCTCTCCAAAGCTCTCTATGGTCTCAAACAAGCTCCCAGAGCTTGGTATGAGAAGTTAACTTGTTTTTTGATATCTCAAGGGTTCTGTCAAGGGGGAGTAGACAAAACTCTCTTTATTAAAAGGAAAAACAATCACACTCTAATAGTTCAGGTCTATGTAGACGACATTGTGTTTGGAAGCACTGATCCTAATATGTGTGATGAGTTTTGCTCTGTCATGAAAGATCAATTTGAAATGAGTCTCATGGGGGAATTAACTTACTTCCTTGGTCTACAAATCCATCAAACAGTTTCTGGAATATTCATCCATCAAACAAAGTATCTAAATTCTATGTTAACAAAATTCGACTTGATGAATGTCAGACCTAGTAAAACTCCCATAGCTTCCAACTTGCATTTAGATCATGACTTAGATGGTCAACCAGTATGTGAGAAAAGATATAGGGGAATGATAGGGTCACTACTATACTTAACTGCTAGTAGGCCTGATATTCAGTTTAGTGTATGCCTTTGTGCTAGATTCCAAAGTCAGCCTAAAGAAAGTCACCTTGTGGTAGTCAAAAGAATATTTAGATACTTGAAAGGTACTCAGGATCTTGGTTTGTGGTATGCCAAATCAGAAGAGTTTCTTGGTCAAGCAAAAAACAAGGGTCAGTTGCCCTTTCAACTGCTGAAGCTGAATATGTTGCAGCTGGCAGTTGTTGTACTCAAATCCTATGGCTTAGATCTCAATTAGCTGACTATGGTATCAATTTTGACAATATTCCTATTCTATGTGACAATACAAGTGCAATTTGCATGTCAAAAAACCATGTGCATCATAGCAGAACAAAACATATTGAGGTCAAGCATCATTTTATTAGAGACTCAATACAATCTGGTCTAATTGATTTAAACTTTATATCCACTGAATTTCAAATAGCTGATATTTTCATAAAAGCTCTCTCTTCTGAGAGATTCATTAGACTCTGTGATGAGCTCGGCCTTCGATCTCTTCACTCAATTCAACGAGGACATTAACCAGGTTCTGCACTCTCCTTACTTTCTCTCTATTTTGATTTTATGTCCATGCCTTAATTACTTTTTACTTGTGCTCTTGTGATTGTTCATGAACATAATGGTTGAATTCCCCATGCTTTGATATAAACAAAAAAAACTGTTTGACTCCTTGCTCTCGGTAGTCTTCGATCATTAATACAGTAGCTCTTAGGATTCTCACATGATTAGTATAAATATCCCCCATCTATTCTCAACGTTCACCATCTAAACCCTCTCTGAAAAATCTCATACCATGACTGACCTATTCACTTCCTCAAACATTCCTGGGGCCATCATCACTTATGTTGGGAGGACCTTTAACGAACCTATTGAATTCAATCATCATAGGTTCAAAGAGTTCTTTGCCCCCCGCCGCCTTTCTGATCCCATTTCCCTTGATCTCTATGAATTCAAAGCTCTAGGGATAGACATTGGTCCCTTCATTCGAAATCTGGGATGGGAATTTCTACTTCACTATCCTCCTCTTGCTGCTTGTCCCTTACCGGTCAAAACCTTCTATGCAAACCTTGACTGTCAAGGTATCATCACCAGAAAGCTAACCACTCTTGTGAATGGCTATTTCATTTCACTCTCTGCTGAGACAATAGGAGTCTTGCTCAATCTTCCCACAGATGGACCTCTTCCTCTGGCCCACGAGGATGAATTCCTCTTCTATGATTTTGACTATGAAGTAGAATACTCTCGCATAACTCTGCGACGAGTTGCAGCTAATGAAGTCATCACCACTGCTGATCTCAACCCCACTCTTCGAACTCTGCACTATGTCATCACCCACCTCTTTCTCCCTCGCTCCCATGGACTAAATATTGTCACAAAACTCGATCTCTGGGTGCTCTCAACCCCACTCTTCGAACTCTGCACTATGCCAGACCTACCAGACCTATCAAACACAAGTCCAAAACCACGAATCTTGAAGCTTCTGGCTCATCCATCCGAAAGAACCTGATCATTTCCTTTGAAGAGGAAGAAGCTGAACTTGAACCTGAAACAGTGTCCGAGAAGGACATCAGACTGTTTGCTGAAGATCTGGAGAAAGAACTGATGGAAGGAGTTGCTGGAAATCAAGAGGAAAACATGATGGAGGATGTGGCTGGAACTCAGGGGGAGCCAAATAAAAATCAGAACTGTCCCTGAAACTCGACTGAAAATCTCTGCTCTGTCGAATAATTCTCTATTTGAATAAGGTGAAATTGACCATAATTGTCTAGGTGTGTTCTTTTTAAAGTACTGCTGACCATAATGGTTTTGGTGTGATTTCTAAACTATCTTATGCTCTGGTTGTTGATGTCATCCCGGTTGATCTTCATAAATAAAATCTTTCCTTGACCATAAGGGTCATTAAGTAGTAACTCTCTGTTCCCTAGGTCTCCTGCATCCAAATGATGTCATGATAAGAATCCATAACTGCTCGTGAATGAATGATTAGTGGTCATAAAATTATTACTCCAGCATGTTCCTTAATTCTCTGTAATTCTGTGAGAAAACAATCATACACTCGATGCTTTGATATCGCCTGTTCTTTTTCACAGGAATGAAAGCTCGAACGCAGGGGGAGATTGTTGGGCCTTGGCCCACTGGCATCTCTCAAAACTGGATCAAAGCCCGCTCACGATTAAGCCCAAAGAGTCCAGTGTTCATCATCATCGAGATGGCTAAAGCGTCTTCGCCTTCATTCCCAAGATCCCTAGCCATCGAGAGTGCCAGAAGCATCAACTCCCAGACAGTCACCACCGAAATCAATTCTCCTTAAAGCATCTGACTAACGGTCTTCAAATTGAAGAAGAAAGAGAGAGAGGAATGGTCGCAGATGCCTGCCGATGGTGTATATAAACGACTCGAGACTGAAGAAGAGAGTAACGGTTTCCTCTACCGGAAGAACGGGTTAGTTCTTGGGATAGCTGGTTAGGGTTCTTAAGTCCTGTGTCTGGATTCGTAGAGTTGGGGCTTTTGCCAGGAACTCTACGTAATCTGGGCGTAGCTCGCAGCTTGTATGTTTGCGGTTCCTTTCTTGCTTATGATTTTCATCTTCTCAAAACTCGCTGAGTCAATTGATTATCCAACATTTTTGAATCAATTTGTTTGTTTCTGTCTTTGATTGAATTCTCTCAATCCTGTGAACGGGAATGGGTTGAGACCTGGTAATCAACACTGCCCTTCAGCTAGAGTTTGATAGTTTGCAGTAATGTAGATAGGAGTGGTTTGTAATCCTACTGATTTGAACGTTGTTAAAGTTTGAGAGGTGCTGCAGGGTTTTCTGTATGTGGCCCGGTTATAATGCTGATTTCACATAAAAAAAGGACCCATCTCCTCAGTCGCTTGATTTTCGGAGATTTGCATGAGTGATTTCTGATGTGATAAGGGAATGATCAGCACCATCATTACTTCCACTAAATTTGAATGAAACAAAATTTTGAAATTGAATTGTATTTAAAAAATAGTAAAGGATACATAACCAGTGTACCAACTCTGAGAATACAACAACGAAAAATGAAAAAAAAAAAAAAGAGTTATAGATCACGTTGTCAGGTAAATCTCGTCCTTAAAAATAGATTTCAAGAAATGAAGTTGTAAAACTCAAATCTCAGGAAACAAAGCTCGGAGTAGAACTCAGCGCCGGAGTTGTGGTAACACCCACGAAGAAGCATCTTTTTGGCCGTCCTGAGACACTGCGCGCAGTCCTCCGGTTTCGACATCTGACAGAATGCAGAGCCGTAGACGCGAGGATCGTAGGAAGGGTATTCGAACGTCGACCGGATATCGGATTCCTTGGAAGCGTTTGTTCTCTCGAGCAAGTTCTGAAGCACTATCTTGATCTGCGCCTTGAGATCGTGGTCGCCCTTGAAGTACATGTCGTCGCTGCAGTAAAGAGCATAAGGATCGTCGTCGGCGACAGCAACGGTTACGCCGCCGCCGAATCCCGGCTGCAGAAGAAACCACAAAAGTACCATCACGAACAACCACACGGTACGACTACTTTTCTCCATATCTCTCAAGATTACTGCAGTAGTGAAAATTGGGTTTTGGGTTTCTGCGAGTTTAAGTGAACTTGAAAGTACTGAACGTATATTATATAGTACCGAACGAGAGAAAATAATATAACTTATTATGTGGAGTTCCTGAAACGGGCTCAAACCAGGGGGGCAAAAAGATTCGTGTGGTACGGCTACTAAATTGTCGAAAAAATCCGAAGAAGCAATTACTTTCCTTAATCTTTGGTGCTCCTCTCGTGTAAGAGCAAGAAAGAGTTTTGTTTTTCTTTGTTGGCGAGGAAGAGTTTGTCTGTTTCTTGATACGGGGGAATTTGGGATTATGGGCAGAGGTGTGATTCGTTGGGTGTTTGTCTTTTATTCTTCTTTTATTTTCTTTCTGTTCGGCATTCGGCACGATCAGATATGTTATGGCAGCAGGGAGCGGTTTCGGTGTATAATTTAAGAGGGTATAATACATAACCCAGTATTTATTATTTAGGTAAATTTATTAATGTTCCCATAATTAGAATTATTAAAGGACTATATTCTTTTTTAGTCGAAATTAATATTTGCACATCAAAATTAGATTATTGTGCTCTTCAAAATAACATCCACTTGATATATTTTAGAACAGAAAAATTGAGACTTTTATTACCAGTTCATACCATGTGGTACTACTTTGTAGGTACATAAAATTATACTACATGGTATGGAAGTGTATTATGGTGGTATGAACCAATACAGTCACAAGCGTGATTCTACCTAGAAGCGGTTGGGTGACATAGAAACGTAAAATCGTAAGCTTTTAAGTTTTAAAGCGTACATATCGACTACATTTGTAAGGGAAAAATTACGATTCTACATGGAAACGTTTTGGTGACCTAAAAAGGTAAAAGCGTAAACTTTTAAGTTTTAAAGCGCGATTTTGACTGCATTGGTATGAACATATCAGAGTATAGAATATTTGCATACATGATAATATAAATATATTCACTGTCATTTACCACATTTCACCAATGTATATCACCAGTTACAAGGTGATACTTTTTGCCCGGAAAAGTTTTTCCAGAAATTTGTAGATCTAATGGACAAAAAAAACTTGTTCCTCCTATGCAAGATTTTTCAAAATTTGAGTTAAAAACGAATTAAGGTGGTACCAAGTGGTATCAGGGATGGTGGATAGTGGTTGCACCAAAAACGGGCAAGAAGAAGGCGAGTCAAGCAACACCAAAAATAAAGAAAGCAATGTGGCGGCCTTATCATGCTCGAATGGTGAGCAAAAGTCACAGCTTTCCTGGATGGTCACTACGGGAAAAGTGGCTTTACGTAACACTTGTTGTGCAACACTTTTTAATAGTGTCACATAAAATAGACATAGGCAACAACTACATTATGTGTCGCCTAGTATATATCTTATACAACATAAATTACCTACACCAGAATATTTGTTACATATGCCTAATAATATGCAACAGTTGAGCAGTAAAATAAATTATGTTGCTTATTCTTACATTTTAGGCAACACTTAATTAAAAATGTTACATATTATGTCAATTTAATAAATTTTATTAATTAATATTATTAACTCAATACAACAAATATAGAATGTCAGCAAAAAAAAATTCATAATTTCATTTTGTCACAATAAAAATCTAATATGACAAAATTATAATTTATCATCATTTCCGTATTAATTGTAACAAGGAATACTTTTGTCATCAAATAGGACCGAGAAATGGTGCATCAACCTACATATATGTCATAGATTTGAACAATAAAATTGCTACTTAATCACAGATACTAATTATTCAAATGGAAGGAAAAATGTCAGTTTTGTCCCCTGTTTTATTTCTCTGGGTCTTTTCAAAGTGATTATTTGAATGATCTGATTATACAAAATAACAAAAAAAAATTCTAAAGTGAATTTATTAGGGATATTTTAGTCATTTGTGTCGGCCAAACTAAAGTTCGGCCTTGGTTAACAGTTTTTAGATGAAAATTTAAACAAAAGGGCATGTTTGATGTAAAAAATAGTAGAGGGCATGTTTGATAAAACGTCATAGCAGAGGTGCATATTATACCTATAACCCTTATTCAAATTGTAATGTTTTCATTCTCAACAAATACTTGTTATTATACTAAAAAAAGTGTTGATTTAAAAGTTGATCGGGTGAATTTCATAAACAATGCTTCATATTGTTTTCTTTTATGTTAATTTATAAAACCTAAATTTAACTAGTGAGGGACTTTACTTATAAAACCTAAATTTTCCGGTCACATATGTTTAATGTGCTTTTGTGAGGTTTTAAGTAGTTAGGCACACACATTCCTATTTGTTGGACCTGTAAATATGACACAGCCAAACTCGAGCAACAATGGTGATCTACAAGTGTGTATGGGCCCAAGCCCACAAAACACCACAAAGACCCAATGGAAGCCCAATGAAGTGTGATAAGGTTTGACATGTAAATATGCTCTTAGGTCTTCCAAGTAAGGGTCTCTGATTCTCTTCCACTCATTTTTTACATATAACTTATCTCTCTACAATCTCTCTCTACCTAAGCTCTCCCTATTTTTCTATCACTATCTAATGTTGATCGTTGGAGTGTAGATAATGGCTGAAACAATTGGCGCACCAGGAAGGGGATCCAAGAAAACTGAGTGCGTCAAGACTGAACATATTCTATTAGGTGCTTGTTCGATCTCCCCAAATACTTGGGTCATTCGGCAGTGAAGATGAGTAGATCTGGAAAAAAAGGGAAGGCAGAGGGCGAAGAACCCAGTTTGCGGCGGCGGTCTTTAGAGGGGAATGATGTTGTCCTTGTTTGATTTGCACAAAGGAGAGGCCTCATCAAACCCACGCGAAAGAGGAAAGGCAGAGGGCGAGGAGCACAGTTTGCGGCGGCGCTAGTCGGTGAGAACGCCGACGCAGCTTCTCTTCGGGTGAAAGAAGGAGAGAGATGGTCGTCCGTGTAAAGAAAAGGTAAACTCTAGTATATGATTGTTGGTGGGTCATTTTGTGAGGAAACTGGCCGGGAAAGTTCATATTCGGCCCAATCCACCATTAATTCTTCCTTCTAAACACAGATCGAAAAATCAAAATTTTCCTTTAATTTGGGTTCGTTGAATTGAGGGGGTCTTGTCTGTTCATCCTCATCATCCATGTCTCCAACCACTTTCGTCTCGTCTTTCTCGAAAAGGCTTGGAGAAGCCTGAAACGTTTCTATTCCATTTGCTTCAGGAAAAAAAAAGAGGAATATATATGTGTTATGTATATTGATAAGATCTGCAGAAGAAACTTGAAAAGAGAGAAGAAGTGGCGCGTTCCGTTCTTCCCTTGCAAAAATTTGCCTGGTTATTCATCCCCCTACGGGTTTTCCTAGAAGGAGAGTTAACAATATCTCAAATTCAGGCAATTATCACTGATCAGAGACAGATTGCGGCGCCGGAACTCTGATGAGAAGGGATAAAAACCCTAGAGCGGCCACCCATCAATTGTGAGGAGGGAAGGCGCCTACCGCTAGCTGGAAGTGTGAACAAGCGCATGGGCGCATGGACTTTGTGGGCCTGAGCCCAGCCATCCTAGCTATGCGCTCCTTGTCCAACCAAAAAAAAAAACATGCGCGTACATGTGCGAGATTTGAACCATGTGCGAGATTTGAACCAGGCGCCTTGATGAAGAAAGTTAGGCGCCAACACCATTAAGCTACAACTTTGAAGCTTGTTCTAATGTCCCAGACAAGGAAATATAGTCAGTTTGTGATGTATGATGGAACGCTCCTATTTATCAAGTCATGGCCGAGGGGCCTAGATATCAAATTTATACACAATGCAACAACGCCTAGCAAGAATCAGACTCCCGACCCAGTGTTTGAAAAAGAAAAGTGGAAGTCGAAGCTTTCAGACACGTGGGTTGAATCTTGCATCCAGTCAACTTCAAGTCAAGCACTTTCACCAACAAGCAAAGCGAGATACGCACCTGTTGTTGGTACCACAACTATATATTGCAGGAAATGCTCCTGTTGTAAAAGAGGTGCGCAACGCCTCAACGGAAATTCGAACATGCGCCTCTAATTTCTTAGTCGAGCTTTGTCGCCTCCCACCACATTATATTTTTGTTACAAGAGAGGAAACAAATGCATGTCATTGAAGGAGCAAGACCCTTTACATCTCACCAAGAAACAAGTTAAGTACCCGCTTCTCTTAAGTTATTGCTTTATGTTCCTGAGTGCTATGTCATGATTTGAACTACTTCATTATTAGAAATTCTATGACAACATGCTATGCTCGCCTACATGCCGCTTATATCTTTCGTGATGCATATAGCTTTTACGTTGCCATCAAAATACTAGAAATATCGGCTTGATATTTGAGATACTCTCCACACTCAAATATAGTGTTTCATGGTTGGTAATACTCTCCGCGCCCAAATATAGCGCCCTCGATGAAAATACTCTCCGCGCCCAAATATAGCGCCCTTGATGGAAATACTCTTCGCGCCCAAATATACTGCCTATGATTGGAAATACTCTCCGCCCAAATATAGCGCCTTCGATGGAAATATTCTCCGCGCCCAAATATAGCACATTTGATTGGAAGTACTCTTCGCGTCCTACTATAACGCCCTCGAATGGAATTACGCTCTGAGTCCGAGTATATTGCTTGTAGTTGGGCAAACTCTATGCCCCTATAATACTTAAAGTGCTTGTTGGTGGAAATAATAGTTGCTCCAAGATCTAGTGCCAAAAGTGTATCGTTCATCATAGAAATCGTAGTGCATGTTATGTTTGCCAGTTCTGTAAGTGAGACATCAATCATTTATGGAAGCATGCAACTTGGGCGCTTGATATATGAGAGCAATGTGATCTTTTGGGTAGTTC